TCATTTTTATTGAAGCCTCAACTTCTCTCTTCGCCATATGCAGCAAAAACTCAGCCGAGAGATGCTGCGCGCGAGAAAGTTGATATTCTCTATATTTAGTCGTTTATTTATTTATTCTTGTACGCGAGTAATCTTAAGCTATGCACTATGGACGCGTCATTTTTCTCATTTCCTTCCCATCTCGATATTCTCTGAAGAGACGCGTTGGAAAATTAAGCTATAAATAAACAGAGAAAAGAGCAGATCATCGGCCGACGACACAATCAAGGCGCGTGGAGAATATTATAGGTCAAGCGCTAAATGCTAAGGAATATCACACTCGAGTTCGTATTGAAAAACACAGAGGTCATGACCGGAGGTCCAGAAATAGCATCCTCTCTGCAAAGACTTATTTCAAACACTCCAAAAGGTCGGAATGTTTATGGGAGAAAATGTTTGTCGCATAATTAATTTGACCAAATATTGACTCCGAGCCGGCGGCCAGCACTAATTTATGGTTTCCAGTTGCAGCTCGATGGATTTTTTATGTTAATTTCAACGGCTGACAAATATCTACTAAAAAGCTTAGGTCAAATTAGGACTGGATTTTTTCACTCCCATAAAATCTATTTAAGGAAATTTTATTATTTATAAAAATTAAAAAGACACGAAGGATCAAAAGTCTATTAAACGTGTTAAATTTTCATTTCTATCATAAGATAAAAATTTTTAATGACAATAAAGTTAAAAAAAAGTTAAAAATTTCACACCCTTTTTGACGCACAAAACCGCACAAACACAAACTATTTTTTTATTTCCAATAATCAAAATAATTAATTCACAATTATTGAGAATGATTGACAAAAAAATTGAATTTGAACAGCTTAATTCAATTGAAACAACACGAAAGATTTTAGATGTATTGTTGGATTAGAAACTTTTGTTCTGCTGCAGAGAAATTCCAAGAATGTTTTTATTATTCTTTGAAATTAAAAATCTCTATGAATATGAACCATGAAAAGGCCCGAGACTTGAAATTTCCATAAGTAACAACCAAAATGACATAATATTTTAAATTCAATATTAACCTTTTCGAAAAATTTACAGTTTGCCACTCACTAATGGCTCAATGGCTCGTTAAAAATCATAAATTGAGTTAATAATATTGATTATATTGGAATGAATGGAAAAGTAACTTTCAAAAAACATAGTTATTATACATTTCGGAGCTTACTTTGTCAACTTACATAATTGGTGCCAGAATAAATAAGTCAGTATGAAAAAAATTTCCATTTTGTGTTTAAGATAGCCGTTCCTATTCCTAAATTTTTTTGCATAACAAATTTAACCGGCCATGATCAATCGACCCTTTCATTGTAATAAACTAGCAAGCATCTATTTGCTCAATATAGAAAATTCAGCAAACGTGTCCAGATTATGCTAATTTCAGTACAAGAGAGGTGACGCAAGTTTCTCATTTTGCACTGCAAAATCCGCTTTTCGATCGTAAATCACTGACGGCGAAGATCAGCGACATGCTAAGCACGTGTTATATGAAAACTCCAATTAGAGACATATAATATAACCTGCTCATCGTCATTAGCACAGCAGAGAGCCGACCGACTCACTTAAAAAGAAATAAAGTTGCTTCACAACCGGCGAGAGAGTAAAGAGCTTTTCGCGAGCAATTCGCACTGCATGCATTGCGCGCGGGGTCGAAAGTTGATGCAACACACACACGTCGGTCATGATTATTTCTGCATAGAAATCGAGCCGAGCGAATTTATTTATTGAGCTGATAGCGGTGCAAAAACATGACTTTAGCATTTGCAAATCACTCTCTCGCCGCGAGAGACACTCCTACGCCCGTGAGGTCTTTTTATCTGTCTCGAAATCTTAATTAAAAATGCGCACACGACCCAATAAAATCTGCACCTTTTGTCACGACACTGATTTTGAAAGTTCACGGTGGGCGAAAATTAAATAAAAAAACCGATAAAAAGGCGCTCTTTTTTATCAAGGATTCCGCCGAAAGTTGGAAAGTTTATACCGATAACAAGCCAAGAGACATTTAAAATTCTCGGCGCGCCAATTAACTCGATTAATTGCCGCAGACGCACACAGTCTTTAATTTAAATGTCTCCGCGGGCGCGCCGCCGATGACGTCACGTCAAGACCTCCAAATTCCGAATTTAATCGTTCATGATCAAATAAAACAAATTCGACCTTAAGAAATTATTTGACGAGGAAGGGCTGCGATTGGAGTTTTCGGAGCGAAAATAAAGGTCGTGCGAATATTGTGCGTGAATGTGTATCATCTCCGGTTTCATTCAACTTCCTTCTCGCGGGAAATTGCATTGTCGGCGCGGTGGCAATTAACTCGTGCAGTGACGCAACGTGATATCCGTGTGCATGTAAAAATATGATTAATGGCAGCGAAATATTATGCAGCAAAAAGCTACTGCGATTTGTTCAGGAATCTCTTTTTATGTATAGCGGGAAGCGGCGGTGGTAGCGGCAGAGAACACACTCGGAATGTGTGTCAATGCACCCTGCTTTTCCCAAGAGCTACCTGTCTTACTCTGCATCATGCATAATATTATATTTATACTTGTTAGAATAATATCCTGCATTCTGATGCTAAAAAAAAATGTTCTAATATGCATCAAAGATATTTTTAAGCCAAATTTTGAATGGGGTTTATTAAACATCATAGGTACTACAATATAAGGTACAGAACATGAAACATGTACAAATATTTTCAACTATTTTACAGCTGAAGCTTCTCGGGTTCTCCGAGACTCATTTTCTTTTTGGAACAAGATTTTATATGGCAATAAAGAAAAATTGATTTAATTTTATGTTGATTTTAATTTTAAGAATATAAATTTAAATCATATTCAACAAGAATTAAAACCAATTTTTCCTTTACTTTTTAAAGCAACAAAAATTAACTGTTGAATAAATTTCCTAGCAGCTCAAATATGGGAAGTTATTACAATAAAAAAATTGTAAATAAAATGTATTACAGCTTACAACAAATTTGAGTTTTTTTTATTTGTAAAATTCTCTAGGTTGATCTTGAAATCTTTTGTAATCTTTCCTGATTGGCAGGTGCTACAAATCGAACGTGTAGCATCAGATCATTATAACACACATTTTATCTGCCCACCTCGGTTGAAAATCATTTCCATACTCATATTTAGCGCGATGTACTTACACCTATGTGTATGTAATTTTATTGCTCCCAATATAAATCAACAGCCTTGTACCATGGGCGTTAGCAGTGCATTTTTTTTGCTCTCTGACCAAAGTTAGGGCCCAACCAAGCAGCACTTCCTTAAGCCGGACTGCCATCGAAAAAATTGCAAAGTATATTGAGGAAGGGCCTCTAAAATTAGCTTCAAATAAAACCTAGTAGTTATATTACTTTGCAATTCTAGTTTCATAAAAAAAATAAACTCTGAAAGCAAACTTGGTACATTTTTCTTTAAGCTCAGTTTGGATTTTTTTACAGTGAAATTTTTAAAAAATTAAAGAATAAATATTTTATCATGTTATAATGGATTTTTTTTATGTTTCTTCTCCGCTAGGTGGTTTATAAAAGTATTAGAAACTTCATATAAGGATCGATTTCACTTTTAACTATTTGAGCCGGGGCCTATCAAAAATTGTCGGTGTGAAATTCCAGCAGCCAAGGCATTAAATCACATCTCCGGCTTCTCAGGTTGTATGATGAATTTAAACTCACGACGCGAAAAGTCAGTCAGTGAGTCAGTGTATCACTCACACCGCCTAGTAGTTCATATTTTATGTACCCGCCGAGCAACAAACGCTAACTCGCTCTCCAAGACGTACGACAAATAAATTCCCACGTGTTCCATTCGAGCCGCCAGAAATTGTGAGAAATTTTCCGACCACACCAAAAGTGCATCGTGCATTAATTAATCGCGGCGACGAGTAGTCTAATTGCGTATCCTAAATAATTCCCAGTGCGTGGCGCAAAAACAATGCGAAATGTGTTGTTTTTTTTCTCTCTCGCGCGAGCCGAGATTCGGATCTCCGACTTTGATAATAGGCGACTCGGAATTACTTATGCATGAATATTAATAGCGGCCATTGTCTTTTCGGACGCCGTTGTATTTACTTATGCAAATCTCGCTCGTCTCCACTCAATGGTGGATTCACTCGAGGCGTCTATTAATGGTAAATGCTCCAAATACTGCCTTAATGGAACAAAACATCTTTTTAATAGATCTGGCCTCTCAGCAATTGGGCCAGAGCAGGTTGCATAGCTAATTTTATTTTTACGGTTTGGAGAGCAATAATAAAATAAGCCTGAGCGGCGAATTTTCGCGTTTGCGTCATAACAATTATACTTAATTGCAGATGATTGGTGCAGGAAAAATTAATTTGATAACAAGGGTTATTTGCTTTTGAATGGCAAAATTGGAAAGCAATTTTGGAAGCAATCTGGAAAGCAGAAAGTTTTCTAAATATTCTTAATAAATAAAATATGTATATGTAAATAAAAGAAAATGAAACTACCCAGATAATATAGTTTGTGATTTTTTTTTAACTAAAATTGAGGAAAATTAAATAATTTAATTTTAAAAACAAGATTAGAAATTAAATTTTCTATCAAAAATTTTCTGTATAAAAATTTTAACAAAGTGCTTAAAAAAAAATAATGTTGAAATTTATTTACATTAAATTTTAAGTTTAATTTTATTTAAAAATATCTTTTTAATTTCAGTATTGAATGACAGCAGTTGTTAGAAACCTCAAAACCTCAACTCAATCAGTTCGTCAAGTCAAAATAATCGCCTCCGAAATAAATTTCTCCATCAAGTAGTGCCGAAACAAAAACACCGGTCGGTTATGTTTCAAAAGCGCAGAGCAACTTTATAATCGATCAGTGGAAGCAAAACTTTCTCTGCGGCAAGCTTAGCAAGCGGCCGGGCTTCCCCGCGTCAGACCGAAAGACATGCAATCGGGAAAATTTGCTATCAAAAACTCACCGGTCGGAAAAGCTGCTCGGGATCCAACTGTGTGCGGTAGAGCAATCGACGGATGCACTAAGGGCGCCAGAATCCTCGAAGGCGGAATATTCAAAATTGAGTCAGAAAACACACTGGGAGCACAAAAACGCACGCAAAGCAGCAGCTGATTCGCACGTGTTCTGGTGCACTGGGCTAATCCAAGACGACGAGTGCAGACTTGGCACCAAAGTTGCATGCCAGCGACTCCTACCTTCGGCCGAGGCGCCAAGGCCCGCCCGCAAACCTGTAGACCTACTTTTCGGACCCCCTCCACGCCTCCCTGCCCCCTCTCTCAGGTACAGGCGTCTTTCCCCGCCGCCGCGACTTCCTCGTTCACTCCTACTATTTTCATCCTTCGGGCTTTCTTTCTTTCCTCGCCACACTCGCGGGCTAGAAATCACAATAATTCTGCACAGAGATAGCCATCGCGTCGGGGGAATTTGCATGAGCGATTGTTTGTCATTGCCGTTAATGAGAGAGGAGGTGCGACTCGCTGCTTAATAATGCCCCTAACTAACTCACCATCGCGGTGGGCAGATCGTCAAGAAGTACTTTTCATTATGTGCCAGTTGGGCAGTGTTCGCAATTGCGTCATGAGGTATTTTTGCACGTTGCCCGACTCGAGCCGGACACACACGGATGAACTGGATCTTGTTGAATGAAGCTTTCTATAGCTTCGTTTAATTAATATTGTTTTTTATTAATGATTTTGAGATTTGAATAAGAGGGCCCCGCTTGGGTGGCATGAGCTGCAGACGAGAGATGACAACTTTTGATAAAAAATTTCGTTTGCAGTGCCTCAACGCTGCTCAATTTTAAAATCAATTTTATTAATTTAGTAATTTTTTAATGCACCGACTAATAATAAAAACTATACAATGAAATTTTGATTCATTTTATTTATGGTTTTTATTCTTTCGAACAACTTTTATGAAAAATATTTTAATTTTATAGAAAAAAAAAATATTTGGCTTCATTTTTTATTTTATTAAATTATAAATCACATTTTACGTGTTTCGGGAAATAATTCTCAGGATATAATGGGAAAAAATAATCTTTGTTCTCTTTAGGATATTACTTGATAGTTGTAGCACTAATGTATCTGGTGAATGGTGGAAAAACCTTGATCTAGGTTTGAGGAAAAATAGCTGTGAACATAAAATTTGCACATTTCTTGATACTTTACATTTAATTAGTTTTAGTTAATTGGTTTTCAGATTGTTTGTAACCAAAATTCGCATAATTTTCAACAGTTTTACAAAATATGCCTTTTCCGTTTGCGTCCAAGAATCAACAAGCTATTTTCGGGATTTTTTATATTATTTGCATTAATAGCACGATTTTTCATTAACGATTAATCAGCATTAAAACCACAATCACCAAATTTCTCCTTTTTTTTCAATCTGCATAATTAAAAATCAGAGAAACCAAACTGAATTATACTTGAAACTTTTCTAATATTGAAGTACTATTTTATATTTATTTAATTTCCTGTATATTTGTCATAAAGATGACTATAAGCTTAGATAATTTTCAATAAAAAAAAGTACAAAATAATTCTTTTAAACACATCGACATAAATTAACTTTCAACAACATCCACCATAAATGTTTTAATCAGCAAAAAAAATTAGACAAACGTCCGGAATATTTTATTGGTTAATTTCTGATAAATCTTGTTTTTCATGTACAAACCGGATAGTTTCCAGAGCAAACTATAAATTGACCCGCGGACAAACGTTCAAGTGAATTTACATGAAGAGATAAGCCGGCGCAAATAAAGGTGCGTGTGCGCGCACATTGAAAATGTACACAGCGCGCGGCACGACCAAACGCCCGTAGGTGCTCCAGAAATAACGCGTGGCCCCGGCACACAATCTTGAGCTCGGCGAGCCGATCACGCCGGAGAAAACAATAAATTATGCAAATCATGATTGTGTTATTGTTTTGAAGAAAATTGAAAATCAATGAAAGCGCGTTGATCGGCCGCCGATAACAAGTCGAACAAAGGCGACTGCATTGAGGTCGTTACGCAATATTTAATAATTTTCAACCTCTGTGTATTTGTTTATTTGCTTTTCGCATTTGATAAATTGCACGCGCTTAATGAATTCCTGACTCACGCACGCCGCAATTTCCATCTCTCTAATGAAATATGCCGTGTTTGCTTATCGGCATCAATCACCTTGTCTTTTGTCTCCGCGGGGCGATCAATTAGCGAGAAAAATGGCCGTGCTCGATGCATTATTTGCAGCTCCTTTCTGCCAATTCGACTCGCTTGTGTCAATCACGTAGAGCAGCGAGCAATTTTTATATATTTTTTTAACCAGCTGCACACAAGTTCTGTGTCATTAGGACGATGTCGTTTCCCTGTAGTCAATTATATACAGTCTGGAGTTCACTCATCGAGCAAAAAATGATATAAAAGTAGCGCCTCTCTTCTTTTTATGGTACAATCACGTTAAAACAGCTAACCAGCGTCAAAGTTTACATTTTGGTCAATTTGGTCATGGGTTAAGTGCTTGGAAAATGGATTGCTTAAAATGTGTGTAAAATAAAAGGTACTTTTCGTACAAGTTTCTAAAATATTTTCTTTGCTTTGATTATTTTTCAATCATTGAAATTAAATTAAAATAAATTAACACTTAAACGGCTGCTTTTAAAACTGTCAACATTGACCTTAAAATCTGCTCTCAACTTGCAATGAACGCAGGAAAATATCCAATTTTTGCACAATTATCTTTCAAAAAGAAATAAAAGGTTCTTTTCGTACAAGTTTCTACAATATTTTCTTTGTTTTGGAATAATTTTCAATAATTGAAATTACATTAAAATAAATAAACACTTCAACGGCTGAATTGGTTTTAAAACTGTCAACATTGACCTCAAAATCCGCTCTCAACTTGCAATGAACGCAGTAAAATATCCAATTTTAGCACAATTATCTTTCAGTAATAAACAGAATTAATGACATTGTATAGGGTCACTAATCAACCACATGTTAAAAGCGGTGCCTGAAAACCTTCAATTTTAGTTGAAATTCTTAAGATTTCAGGTAATCTTTGACCCTGAGAATTGATTTCGGAATTTTCAGAGGTCATATATTCATTTATTGAACCACTTTAGAAAATGAAAACAAACAAAAAACACCATAAAATAATTTTTTAATTTTCAAAAGCTTTCCCATTCAGTCTAAAAAGCAATCAAACGTTTATAAATAATTTAACTAGAGACATTATTCAAAATTTGAATATATTATGTATAATTGTTCATTAATGTTAATCCTGCTTTTCAAAACGGCAGTAAAATCCGCCCTATTGCAGTGGCAAATTTGACGTTCATAAAAAAATGCTATTAGCCATTTTCCGAGAAAAACGGCTCCCGTAAGGATAATTAACTCCCATATAATAATCAAAGGCCTGAAATAGAATCTTATTTACGGTGGAATTTCCGTGCAGTCACCGTCCGAAATTCATTAGTCATCGCCGCTTTGCCCGCACAAAAGACCTCTTATTGACTGTTTTTTCGTCTCTGCACTCACACTTTTGGTAGGAAAAGCCGCAGAGGTGAATGATAATTACGGTGCCCGCGGTGGATCTTCGACAAACTTTCTCAATTTCAACCTGAATTCAGCAGGATAGAGGTTCAAATCTCGTGAATAAAGAGATGGGCTCCCACTCTGCAGCCTTCTGACGCTTGGATTTTTTTTGTCGTATAATTTTAATAATCCCTCGCGCGCTCCACGTCCATGCATAAAAAGTGGACTTGATTTATTTGAAACAGTAGTCGAGGTCCGCGTCAATGTGTAATTGAAGACCTAAATAAATTTCGCTCGCCAAGGACTGTGAATGGTATGTAATTATAATTTAGATGTCAAATAGTTTTTTTTGTCTCTGAAAATAAATTTGAAATTTTATTCACAAAGAGCTCAACATTAAAAAATATTACAATTTAATTGTTGAATTTTTAACAATTAAATTGTTCAGATGTGCAGAAAAGCTCCTGTGGGTTCCGTCATAAAACTAAGCCATAAAATGGAGTCAACGTATAATTATAACTTATAACCTGCTGGGATAGCATAGCGAAAAGTGAAAACTACAAATTATTTATATTAAATTATAATCTTCTTGCCTAGTTAATTTAACATTTAGGTAGAAGTTATAATAAAGTAGCGAATTCGATTATAGTAGCAGATTAAATTTTATGTGAACACAAGTGGATAAAATTGCAAAGTGGCTCAAATAAAAAAGCTTGAATTGATGATTCATTCAAATTGGTTTGTTTTTTCCTACATTGCAATATCAGTCAATATTTTTTAATTTATTTTTATTTTATTTTAATTGCAAGGAATGTTAAAAATATTTTTTGCTTATCTGTTCTTCTCAAAATTTCACCCCACAACAGTAATTTTCATAATTATACAACATAAAAATTTTGCAGAAAACAAACACACAAATTAAATGATTTACAATTCCGCTCAAACAAATAAATGTTTAAATTTTAAATTTTGCCATCTTCAAAAGCATTTTCCGCAAGATAAAAAGCAAGCCAGGTACCTCAGCCAAAACAGGTTGCTGTATAAATAAATTTTATGTTAAGTTGGTCGATCGGCCTCTGTATATGTGCAAGTGCTGCAAAATCCGCGGCGTGAACGCGAGATGGAATTTGGGTTGAGAGGAGGATCCTTGAGTGCAGCGAGCCGGGCTGCTGAATGTAAAAAGAAAATCGGCGTGCCGACGATTATTTTTTGCCTCGACTGATTGCTTCCCATCGTCGCATTACTAACCTAATCACCCGCAATTCTCGCGGCATAAATAATAAAATAAAATATACACACTCCGACTCGCTGTTTGTACTTGAGAATTTTATGTTCGGTAGGCGAATCGGCGTCGTCCGTGGCGCTTTCGAGGAATGCTTCGGTGCGAAATTTTATTATCTTATTAAAAGGCTGGCGTTATTATTCGCGCGGTGCCTGACTGGCACTTTCAATCCATTTATTATTATAGAAAATATAATTATATTTATGCGATTTGCAATGCCTTAAAAAAAATGCGAAATTGCAGCCGAGGGAAATTATAAATTTAACCGGAGATAGGTGTGTGCACTTTGAAATATGAATTATGTGTTTGCACATGAGCGGTAATGATTTGTGAAGCAGTAAAGAGCATTTAAATTAGGGCAGGCGAGTCAGACACATGCAGAATTTGCAATACTAC